CCCGCGGCGGGAAAGCCGACCGGTCAGGGCCGGGCCGAGGGCCCGGAGCGCGACCTTCACGACCACGGAGCCCTTCCCCGCCTTCCTGTTCCTTCCTTCCTCCTCCCTCCCTTCCTGTACTTACTGAGCACCTGCTCTGGGCCAGCCACGTTCCAGGCACAGGGAACAGGGGGACGACAGCAGAGGTGCCGGGTCCCGGAGCTGACAGTCTGATAAGGCAGACCACACCCGAGTGGACACGGTCATGGACAGAATAACTCCAGAGAGCCGGGCCTCCGACACAGTGTGAGTGGGGGGCGTTCTGTAAGGGCCCCTGAAGAGCTGACTGGGAGACAGGACCTAGTGCCATGAAGACCCAGGAGGGGCCCTTCCAGGCAGTAGAGGGCGCTGCAAAGGCCCTGAGGCGGCCCCAGCGGAACCCACTCCTGGCGGCCACTCTCGCGGCTCAGGCTTCAGGACTTGCACACAGTGGCTTTATGTCCCAACTCCAGGGACCCAGAACATAGGGACTGATGCCTGGGCAGAGGGAGCATCCAGAAGGAGAGGGTGGGGGTTAAGATCCCATCCAGCACCGAGCCGGGGGGCCACAGTGAGGAGTGGGGAAAACCCCGCCAAGGTCATGGGCTCCTTCAGACAGGTTTCAGGACTTCACTGAGCACCCAGCCTATGCTCCGTATCGGCCTCAGAGGACAAGCCAGGGGCGGGACCCTCCCTGAGGCAGCTTCACTTCCTCTGCCGGCCCAGGGGCCACTCTGCCTCCATCCTCCCCCAGAGTCCCCTGCGTCCTTGTCACACCTGCCTCCCACTGAGTCTCTTTGCTCCAGAGGGAGCTAGAGAGCCTCATGGGGCAGAGAGCACGGCCTCGAACATTTGGGAAAGACAGAGTGGGGGTTCCCTCTGGCCCCCAAAGAACTGAAGCACCTGGGCCCTCTCTGCTACTGCTTGTTCATCTGCCTCTCCCACCCCCACCCCCGTCAACGGAAGTCATATCCAGTAAGGGTTACCAGGGCTTGCACTGTGCCCAGCGCTGGGGTGGGGGGCGGGGTGAGGGAGGTCTGGCTGGATGTGCGAAAGGGTCTCCTCCCTTGGAAGGCACCCTCGCCCCCTCCAGGGTGTAAATTCCCAAGGGGGAGCCAGCAGCGGAGGTGACACCTGGCCCAGCACAGGGAGCAGAGAAGGGGAAGGGGTCATCGCAGGGCTGAAGGGAGGGCAGGCAGCAAAGCGGGGAGCTAGCGAGAGGCTGAGGAAGGAGCGGCCACTGCAGACGCTGGTGTGGCCGGGAGCGCGCCCAGCAGGCAGTCCGCGGTGGTCTGCCCCGGCCAGACCCACTCACCGCGGCCTCTCCAGCCCGGCCGACGTCCTGTCCCGACTGGAAAGGCTCTGAGCCTCCTCTCCCGGTGTTTGGTTTGGTTTCAATAAAGGAAGGCCGCTAAGTACTGTCCTCAAGAAAATGTAGCAGTGACAAATTACTGAGCAACTACTATGTGCTGCGCACTCTTCTAGGGTCGGGTAAGTCCTGGAAAAGACGGGGCCTCTGCTCCTGAGGGCGTGAGGTTGCAGGTTATCATACTTAACTCTTAATGACCAGGCTGTGGGGTAGCTACGACTGTCCCCATTTTATTCAGAGAGGTGACTGCCCAAGGTTATCGGCAAGGCATCTCAGAGGCTAGACTCCAGCCAGGCTTTATGGTCCCAAGGTGGCACTTAGCTACCCCTCCCCCTCCATCACTTGTCACCTGTGCGCAGGGCTCAGCCAAGCAGGGGGGAGGTATGGGCACATCACCACCGCCATCCCAGGCGCGCACTGAGGCCCCATCACCAGGGACTGGGTTAAGGTCCACACGAATCCCGGGGCGAGAGCAGACCTGGAATGCTGGTGGCGCCACCTCGCGGATGCTCCCCCCCCCAACGGTCACTGCCTCCGTGAGGCGTTCGGAAAAGCAGGGCTGGTCCCTCCTCTGAACGCAAAGCTCAGAGACGTGGTCCCCAGATCACAGCTCACACCAGTTCCATGTGCTCATGAGACACTTCTGTCCCCGAGTGGGGGGACAGCTCCTGAGGCAAGGTCGCTTCAGAGAGCAGCGAGTACTGGGAGACCAGCAGCCGTCGGGTGGGGGCAAGGCCGTGACGAGGGGGCAGGAAGCTCGGAGAGCTGAGAGCTGAGCGCGAACGGTGAGGGGCGGCCATGGCCTGGCGGAAAAGCCAGCCCCGCGGACCGGACGGAGGAGCCGTGGGCCACCAGGCCAGCCAGGGAAGGGGGAGGGGAAGTGCTTGACTTATATTCCCAGTCGTTGGAAGGTTCTAGGCAGCGGAATGAGACGAGTGGCATTTTTACAGCCATCACTGGCCACAGTGAGGACACATGCAGGAGGCCACCCAGGAAGTAACCGTCCAGGTCCAGACAGGCAGCGGTGAAGGAGGGGAGCCCCCCGCCCCACGCTCACCCTCCTCAGTGACCAAAGTCCAGGACTCGGGGGGCTCAGGTGCAAAAGAGAGACGCGGGGAGTGCCGGAAGCAGGGGGCTGGCCGCGTCGGCGGCGCGCCCGCATCCTTGATGGAGAGAAGTGTCTGGGACCACAGAGGCAGTGTCTGTGGTGCCAGTGAGGTAGCCCGCGGCTCGGCAGGCGTCAGGGTGAGGCCACTGCAGGCCCCGCGAGGCCAGGCCACGCGGGACACCAAGGTGTGGCATCGGCGCTCAGGGTGCGCTGGGTTAGCACTAGACCCCGTCCGGGTTTATAACATCTGACCACTCACTACACTGAGGTCCCAAGACGGGGAAACCAGCCCAGCCACCCGCCCTTGTGGCCTCCTCGTCCCCACCGCACAGGAGGCACTGGACTGCTCCCAGATCCCAGAGGTCACAGCGTGGCGGGGGAGGCGTGCAGGTAGAGACAGTGACACCGGGAAGCAGGTGCTCTGAGGGAGGAGCCTGGGGCCCTAAGGAACCGGGGCTGCAGGACAGACTGCTCAGAGGCGCCGTCCTCCACCGAGCTCCCAGGTGACAGCAGCGGCAATCACGGAGATCAGCATGGGTGGGTGCCTGCTCGGGCCCGGGCTCTGTTCTTGGCCCTCACAGTGCCATAGAGGGTAGGTGCTGTCCCCCAATTTAAGGACGGAGAAGGTGACATCACACAGGGGTTCAGGAATTTACCCACAGGATCCAAAGGCCCACATCCCACACACCAGCTGGGTGTCCTAAGCAAGACACTCCACCTCTCTGTGTCCTAAATTGTTCCACCTGTAAAGGGAACCGCGCTGCCCCAACTCGGCCGTGGACCAGCGGCACCAGCACTCGTGGGAACCGGTTAGGACGCCGACTCTTGGGCCCGCCCAGGCCTACCAGGCCCAGGCCCTCTGGATTGGGGCTCTGGGATCTGTGTTTAATATGCCCTCCTGGTGGTTCTGTCACGCGCCCCTCACCCCCCAAGTTCAGGAACCACAGCACTGACCTAATGGGTCTAGGCCGGATGCACATTAGAAGCACGTGGAAAACTTTAGAAAAACACCAACGTCCAGGCCCCACCTCTGCCCTCGCGATTCGAACGCACAGCCAGCCATGAGCCCCTGCCCTCGGGCGCAGCTTCTTGTAAGGATTCCCGAGAGGATGGATGCCAAGCGTCTGGCATAGGGCCAGACCCCGATCGATGGTGCCTTCCTGAGACGTAAGGGGGGTCCCTTTGAACCCCAGTCCAAACCTTTCGGCATCAAGATCCAGACTTGCCTCCCATCCCCCAACAACACTCCTGATCAAAAAAGAAGAAGCGCCTGCCTCTCAACTTGACCCAGATGGCTGGTGCACCGACGGTCTCAGGCTCTTGAAGTGATTGGCGGACTCTGGTGGCTACACCTTCGTTCCTCTTCCTAAGTGTGACAAAGCCCAACCTGTGCGGCTCGCCTAGTGGGCCCACTTCAGAGACAGCCAACGAGAACATGAATGGTCCTCTTGGGGACCCTGAGGGGACTCAGCAGGAGGGAGACTGAGGGGACGTGCTCCTGGGGTGCGGACTCCACAGAGGGGAGCCCTGGCCACAGCCTCGGCCGCCCAGGCCTCCAGCAAGACAGGAGCTTGTTCCTGCTCGGTGCTGGAGGGTTGAGGTGGCCTGCAGAGAAGTCTCCTAATGACATGTGGCAAATGACAGGGGTCAGAGGAGCCAGCTTTGAGGGGAAGGGTCAAGCTCTACAACCCCGTTATCAGGTCGTCAAGGGAAACAGCAAGGCCATGGGGACACTGGCCAGGACATTAACCCAGGCCAATACCAAAAGTCTCATATGGGGACAGAAGGGAAATGTGACCAGACAGAGAAGGACAGAAAGGCCCCACAGTGAGACGGACGGTGGGCTGGCGGCTCCCATCTGAAGCGAGGGAGCCGGGGAGGGAGGTGTGGAGGGAGGTGTGGGTGCTCTGCGGTTGGGGGGCTTGATGGAGGCAGGGATTTCTAACCCCTGGAGCACCACCGCTGTGGGCAGCTGAACCCCTGACGTGCGAGAGGCCGGCCAAGCGGGAGCCCCCCATTGGACAGAGACTGCGATGACACTCGACCGTGCCCCAGCTACCTGGGCTCTGCTTACTCGCAGACACTGCGCAGCGAACGCATTCGTCAGGTGTGTACTGAGCACCTACTATGCGCCTGGCACAGTTCTAGACCCTGGGGAAGCCATCATCATCTCCTTTTCAGAGAAGAAACCAAAGCACAGCACGAAAAGGCAGAGTGCTCACCCAAGTCCCCATAAGCAGCAGGGATGGTGGGGGGCCGTGACCCCAGCACCTGGATGAAGAACCGGTGCTTCCCCATGCCCCGAGCCCCATCGCTCCCCACCTCTCTGGGTACACACGCAAAACGCTGTGGAGACAGAGAGTGGGGCGGCGACAGCTCTGGCCCACGCTGCAGGGGTGGGAGTGATTCCCTCCGCCCCTTTCCTACTGGGTTGGAGTGAGGCTCAGTCAGCCCCAGCTCCTCAGAGTTTTACGGCACGGTCACCTCCTGACGGGCCCCAGGGAGGCCTGGGAAAGCGGCCCGTAGGCCCAGGGACCCCCCATCGGACTGTCTGGGGCCAGAGCGGGCAGGGCAGGAGGAGGAGGCCCGGGCTCTGCAGGGGCGCACCACCACCAGAAACTGTGTTTGGGGTTTCCTGAGCTCCCGGGGAAGGGAGCAGAGGCCAGGAGTCTTATCATGAAAGCCAAGTGTATGAGCCTGACCTGCACCGGGAGCCCAGTAAATGCCTGAGAGGGCAGGGGTAGAAGGAAGGAGACGAGATGGGGGAATGGGGGGGCCTCCAGCCAGCCTCAGGGGGCCAGGCTTCTCATCTCCCCTCGTGGCAAAGGCAAGTCCCTCCACCCCACCCTACCCCAGGCACCACACACGGGGTTCACTGGAACTTGGGAGGGAGCGGGCCTATTGATCGCCTCCCTTCTGCCAAGTGCTTTGGTGCCTAGTTATCTGATTTCACAAACGAGGAATCTGGGGCCCAGAGAGGCTAAGTGAGCAGCCTTGGGTCACACAGCTGGCAATAAAGCTTCAAGAGTGGTTGAGAGGAAGTCAACACCACCCACCTCAGGGGTGGCTGTTCTATACTTGACAGCACCCAACACAGACGGTGTGTAATCAGCGTTTTGGGGGGACGCAAGCCCGGTGGTGGTCAAGAGCAAGGCTGGAGCCTGAATGCCGTCCTGGCCCCACGGGTCCCTGGGTAAGCCACTAATGTCTGTGCCTCAGCCCCCATATGTTCAGTGAGCATGGTCACGGCACCTGAGTCACAGGCTGTCGTGCAGAGAATGGAATGTGTGCCAATGCTCGGGAGAGCGAGCACCTGGAGGCCAGTGATGGTGGCTGCGGAGAGAAGGCCCTCACGGGGGACAGCGAGAGAAGCAGCCCAGCAAGTCCCGTCTGCGTCACACACCCCTCATCTGTGTGACAGGTGGCGGTCCCTGACAGTCCATGCTGAAATCTTCAGTTGGGTCCCCCAAACGCCCCAGCTGGGATACAGTGCGGACTCGCCCGTAAGACTAGCATTTCCTGAGGCCGGGGGCTGGGCGGCAAGCCCTGCGGACGGTAGGTGGGCAGGCGGCCTCACCGGGAGCCGCCGGCCTCTGCCAGCGAGCACGCCGCCCCGGTCCAGCCCTCTGCCCTTCCAGCTGCTCGGCCTGGCCTCACGCTCGCTGTGTGCTCGGGTCTCAGAGTCCCCGTCTGCAGAGTGCGGACTACATCAGGGCTTCACAGAACACGAGCCCTGTGGGGTGCCCTCCAGAAAGGTGTCCGTGGCTTAGGAGATGCCACCGATGCCATCGCCCCTCTGGGGGAGTCGCACGACACTCACATATTAAGGACTGAAAAGTTCTGCAATTTAAAAATCTGTTTGCGAGTAATTCAGTTTTCCCCCGACTTCTTGGACCCTGTGGTTCGTTACTCCTGCTCGCAGTGTTAACTCCCTAGAGAACACGGGCCATCGTGGGAACGTGCGCTGAGTGCAGTGGGGGAGAGAGAGGGAATAATGTCCTGTGCTGGAGGTGCTGGCGTCCGAGGAGGACGCTGAGCAAGTCGAATGATGAGCGGGACCCGGTGGAAGGTAAACAGAGAGCAGCACGTGCCCGGGCCCAGGGGCCACGTGGGGGTGGCAACGGCCCTGACCACACGGGACAGACTGGCTCTGAGGCTGGAGGAGAAAGCAGGTCAAAGCTACCGGTTCGACCCTTCTTCTGAGGTCAAGAAGAACCTTCTAGAGTTTTTAAGAAAAGGAACGACATGATCAGATTTGTGTTTCAAAAAGTTAAATTCTGGCAGCTTCTGAACCCTGGAGCTTGGAAGAGACAGGGAGACCGGTAGAGGGGCCGGGGGGGCCCTTGACGTTGGTCCAGGTGAGTGATGGCCAGTTATGAACGACAGCAGGAGGGGTTCAGTAGAGGAAAGAGAGGTTGGCCCCCTGAACCTCTCACTGAGCAAGGTGAGAAAAAGCGGGGAGTCAAAAGGCTCTGGGGCATTTGGGGGAACGATGAGGCCACTTCCTTTGTTTGAATTGGAAGGAGAAGGTGGCTGTTCAGCTCCAGACATATTGCCTCTGAAGCATCTGCGGACGCCCTGGAAGCATTTCTCAGGGCTGGCCAGGCTGGGCTGCAGTAATGAGTGAACCCCAAACCTCAGTGGGGTAACCCAGGAAAGCTGCGTTTCACTCATTCACAAAGTGTGATGCAGGTCAGGTGCCTCCACCGTGTGGCTCTGCCGTCTGAAACACGGCCTCCAAGGGCACGGAGAAGACAGCCTGAGAACCACCCAGGATGCTGTGTGGGGTCGGACCTGGAAGGCACGCCATCTCTCATATCCCATTGGCTAGAGCCTACGTTCATGGCCTCAACCTACGGGCAAGGGAGGCTGGCAAGTGTCGCAGCACATGGGCATTTGGCGAGCCCCGCCTGTCACTGTCGCGCTGGCAGGGAAGCTCCAGAGGCCTTCGGAACTGGTGACTAGAAGAATATCTGGGCTTGAGACATAGATCTGCACGTGACTGTTAAATGAGATCGCCCGGAAAAGAAAACAGGACGAGATAAAACGGGTAACGCCATAAACTACTCTGAGGTGGTATTTAGGGATTCCCACAGGATGACTCAAGATTTAGTCCAAATCTCTTGTTTCCAAATATCCGATTATTTGTTGTCATGTAGACAAGGCATCCAGACTTCTTCCTGATTTTTCAGTTTCCATATGGTTCCTTGGCACCGCACCGGCAGCCAGAAGCAGCTGGCCAGTGCTAAAGCCCCGTGCTGCTCCACGCCGGTCTCTGTGTAAGGCCAAGGGCTCACGATGGTAGAGCTGTCTGGAGGAGGGGTCTTCAAAGGCTTCAGTCTTAACAAACATTTTGAAAGACAACTCACAGTATTCTTGCCTTTAAGACTCATTTCAGAAATCAAAATTTCTACTACTGAACTCTTAAGCATTGATTTTTTTATTTAATTGCTTTAGACGCTTAAAAATGTTTTCAAAAATAAAATTTGTTACAAATAAAATTTTGGTAGAAAATCATGGTTTGAGGGACTTCAGCTTAGAGGTGAATTAAAACTCACCGTTTTCCCTGGAAAGGGTTACTGCCTTAATCCAGACTAACAGAGAAGCTTGGGTAGTTCTTCAGAATGGATCTTGCAAGGCCCTTTCCTGAGGCCAGTGTCCCCACTCTGAGACCATAAGGGTCATGACGCTGGAACTGTATCAGTTTCTGCCTTCTACTTATCCTCAGAGCCCAGCACAGTGCTGGGCACACAGTAGGCATGTAACAAGTGATGGGTGGATGAGTGGATGGTTGGTTGGATGGATGGAAGGATGGATGGATGGAAGGATATTGGACAGATGGGTATATGGGTGGGTGGATGGTGGGTGGATGGACGGGTGGATGTACAGATGGATGTACAGATGTGGGATAGATGGGTGGGCAGATGGATGGACGAACAGACGGGTGAGTGGATAGATGGATTGGTGGATGGATGGATGGATGGATGAGTGCATGTATGGATGGGAGGATGGCTGGGTCTGCCACCCTGAAAACGCTGAAGAGATCCAGACCCCTAAACTACAATTGCTGAAGTGAAAAGCAACTTGGTGGGAGAGACAGAGACCTGGGCCGGAGGTCGGGACGGCCAGCTCCCAGTGCCAGTGTTCCACTCACAAAGCTTCGGGAACTGGAGAAAATCCCTTTCCCCATGGGTGCTCATGCTCCTCCTCTGCTCGGTGGGGTCACATCCACCCGGCCAACCCCCACAGCCTCACATACAGCCACGTCAGGGAGGCAGAACTCCACTCAGGGCCAAGCGAAGACGCTGGCAAGCTTCTCTCCAAAAATCAATTACCAAACAGTACAAATTGACAAAACAACCATTTGCACACTCTGGAATTCATCCAAGAGCAGCAACGAGCTGAGAAGTGTTTGTGCTGAACGGTGCTGCACTCAGGCACGAGCACTGGGGCCCGGAGCTGCTCCCACCCCCGTCACCCTCACTGAAGAGCCGGCAGGGCAGGGCAGGCCAGGAGGACCAGCAGCTGCGCTGCCACACGTGAAGGGGAATCGCACAGTTTGGCACAGTGGGTGACACCTATGCCTAACAGCACCGTCAGCAGAAATGATCTGGAGGCTGTAACATGGCTGAGGCTGTGTGTCTCTGGAAAGGGCCCAAGCCAGCCAGACTCCCCACCGACCCCAGGGCTGTGTGTATGCACACAGGAAACAGGAAAGCCTCGCGAAGAGTAAGGGCCAGGCAGCCGTGAAAGTGCCTTAATTTTTAATGTGTTCTGCTACCCACACACAGGTCTTTGACAGAGGACAGAAGGCTTACTAGCTGAAGGTGTTTAAGAATTACCTCTGACCTAATCCTGGCTGACCTCGAAGCTAGGCGGGAACAGGGGCACAAAAGCCAGGCTTAAAGAAATTAGAAATTTTTAAAAAGACAATATCAGCAGCTGCACACAGCAAAGGAGACGGATTTCACAAATCTGGCCAGGCAAGTTACTAAACTAACGAACAAATGAACAAGCAAACAATATCAACTATCATCTGAGAGAAATCAAAATCCAGAATTTACACAGTATATAACCTAAAATGTCCAGGTTTGACAAAAAAACGTTATTATGAGAAATTCACAGAAACAGAAAACTATGACCCATATTTGGGGAGTAAGGGGTGGGGATGGGGAGAGCAGCCTTTAGACACCTCCATAAGTTGGGTTTGATAGTGAGAGAATTCAAAGCAGCTATTATAAATATGATCAAAGAAATAAAGGAAAGCATGACAATAATAAGTCAATAAATAGAAAGTTTCAATAAGGAGGAAAAATAATGTAAAAACACACCAAATGAAAATTTTG